GGCGGGAGCCGGAGCCGGAGCCGAGCTCGGCGCCTCACCTGACCCCCCTCCTCCCGGCGGGATTTTCACTAAAAAAAACCGCCTATTGCTCTGTGCGCTCTTTCCACTGACAGAATTTTTCCTAATTAGGGCGTTTGTTTGCTCCATAATTAAAAAAAAAAAAATCATGGGGGTTTTTGGTTGGGGTTTTGAGGGTGGGCTGGTTGTTGGGTTTTTTTGGTGGGTTGTTTTTTTTTTAAGTATTGTTATGTAGATGAGTATAATTGCATTCCTAGTAGATGCTCACATGCCTCCTGCTGCGACAGAAGGCAAAAGTTCAGCAGCCAGGTAGGGACCGAGTGCCCTGGGCAGGGTTTTATTTCCGACATTAGTGGGTAGATGAAGTTAAAAAAAAAAAAAAAAAAAAAAAAAAAAAAAACAGGTGCCGACCGACCACGGGCTCCGGTCTGAGTCGCCAGCCTCCTAAAAATCCTGGCTTTAAAACAGCCCAACTTGGGCAATCTCATTGTGCGAAAGGGAAACCAGATGTTGGGAGAGAAATAACATAAACCAGATCTCTTAAAGGAGAATAAATCGCCTCTGATTCTTAAAACGTGTTCTGTAGGGTATAACCGGCACACCGGGTATCTGAAGTTAAATATTGGGTCTGGGCTTGAGTGATGACTCCTAACCCAACACTCCTGTGGGTGCCAAGTACTGAATTGCTATCGAGAGCCACTGAAGTTATCAGTGGAGCGTTGAGGCCGGATTTCTCCCTTGGTCGTGAACAGCCTGTTGAATTTGAGAAAGGCGAGGGTGATAATCTGTGTACCGACATGTCAAACCGGAGGCTGGTTGTTCAGTTTGGGTGCAGACAACTTTTTTTTCGAACAGAGCTGGAGATTCAGCGAGCTCCTTGCACATGAATCTTAAGATAGTCAGGTGGCGATGATTTCTGGCAGGAATTATTTGAGCTGGTGACTAAAACCCTTTGTGCATATTTGGCTTAATAGGAAAAGTTTTGCTGTGCGTGGTTTGTAGATTTGTCACCGTGTTTGTATGCATTGGGCTGGGACGGGCACGTAGGACATTGCACTCTAGTAAGTGATCCTTGTAAAAACCACTAATTATTACCTAGCACAGGGGGGAAAGGTTGTAGGTGTGTGTGCTTCTAGAGGAAAGCGATCGTTGCTCAAAAGTAGAGCCTGGTTTTCTTTCGAGCAGCAAGGTGCAATCTTTTCACGCTGTGAAGAGTTAACCTGCACTTAGAAGCATTTGAAGAAATTGCACTTGCCTGCCAGCTGTGGCACCGAGGCACAGACTTGGCTTTTGTGTGTGCGTTTATGATGTATTTATATTCACTTTTAATAAAGGGTCCCCTGGAAAAAAAAAATTCTGAATAGAAGCAGAAGTGCTGTTGAACTCGCTGGGGTTTTAATTATCTGTCGATGCTGTAATGCTTAACACCACTGGCTTGTTACAGAAACTTTACAGACTTCATTCTAATCTGGGCTTCTGTAAGTAATACAGCGTGGAGACAGGCTAATCATTGTTTGCAAGTACAGAACTAAAAAAAAAAATACTGAGCCAAAGTTATCCATAGTATGAGCTGCACCGAGTCTCAGCTTACACCGCGGCTGAGTCTGACTGTAAGTGGAGTACATGACCCCAAGCTGAAACACAGATCTCAGAGAAGGTGAGGTTTCAGAGGAGAGGGATTTTTTTCCCCCCTCCCTGCCTTGGATCAAACGATATAGTTGGAAGCAGAAGAAGAAGAAACAGATGCGGTTTTTTGGCAGTTGAGCCATTCATGTCTGAGAGCACTCGCAGGACAGAAAGTGGGATTTGTTTCTCTTTAAGAGAGGGGAAATGGCCTTTTGCTAAACTGAATTTATAGCACACAGAAGTTTTTCTGTTGGCCAAACACCCCAGGGAAGCACATCACATGTACAGAAAACGCTCTGGTCATGCCGACCTGCGCGAAATTCCTCCCTCCTCAGAGCAGAGGAGGGTTCCTCGGGAGCCACACTCCCACTTGTTCAAGGGAGCAGTGCTTCTCACTTCAAGCCTGTCTTTGCATGTCTCGGTACCTATCAACCGTTCTGAAAAGTGGTGATTTATAATCCCAGGGAGCCCCTTTGTACCGCCTGTTCCAAACAGAGAGGCAGGGAAGCCTTCTGCCAGACCTTGTGCATATGCATGTGTCGCTTCAGCCTAGCACAGATGTGCTGGGGAGGCATTCACACATGTCCCTTGGCGCAGATAGTGTGTCATTGTACCTCATATCTGGAAAGGCTGCGGACCTGACCCTTGAACAGCGAGCTGTGAAAGACTGTACAAGCATCCTAAAGTACTGAGGCTTCTTGCTATTAATTTTCACTGTCACGTTTTTCTTTTGCATGCTATTTATATCGCTGGCCTTGACAGAGCTGTGTGTGGCTTATGTCTGTATATTTTCTGCTTACATTCCTGCAGTTTCTTAAGCTTCTCTTGGCTAGCATCCCTTTATTCTAGTACACTGATCTGTGGTTTTTTAGAAGTAAATTACCTATCCTTTTCCTCCAGTCAGAAACGTCTGTAATTAATTAAAGTTTCGTTGTTTTCTTTTGTGCCCAGCCTAACTTTCCAGCCTTCTGCATAATCTTTTTCCTGACTGACTTTGTCCTGAGTGCAGCGGCTCACAGTTGGCAAAGGAAAGAAGTGACTGTGGTGTTCCCGGTGCTGTACCTAAACCCCGCTGAGGGTCAGGGTCCCGGGGTTGAGGGCCCTCTCTTATAGCTTTTCCCCATTTCTATAGTACCCTCATAGTTCTGAGATTACCCAAACGTTTCAAGTGCAGCTTTGAACGCGCTTTGTGCTGTGCCAAGAGGTCTTTCTGCTCTGCATCAGTCATAAATTGTTTCTTTTCATGTTTCCCCCCTGCAACTTTGAAGGCTTAATTCAGTGTGAGCTAACCTCCTCTGTTGCTTAACACTGCGTGTAGGCAGACAGACGGGCCGCTCCTCGGGTCATGTTGCTGAAATCAGATCTTACATACGTAGCTTTTATGCTTCCTCAGTCTCATGACTGGAATCCAGCTCTGTGTGTTCCTATTCCCCTTTTTTGTTCTCAGCATTTGTCACTTCGGTGGCTACACAGAAGCAAAGGGTTCGGGCACCCTATCTTGCAATCTCAGACTGGAAATAGAGACAGCGGAGAGCTTGTCCTAAGCAGTCTTCTCAGTCTTTGCCTTTTAAAACATAAAAGGAGGGACTCAACTGTAATTAACAAAAAATGCCTAATAAAGCTTTGGTAAAATTTCTGCTGAGATGAACCCAAAAAAGGGGCTGCTTCCATCGACTCATCTGAACTTCATGCTAAGAAACTTCCTTGTGATGATGACTCACATCCAACTGTCTGCCAGATGTTTAAGAGCATCAGGGCACCTTATCTAACCTTTCTCCTAGCCTTAAGCTCCGAGTCCATCTCTTCCTGGCATCCCATTGTACATGCCTTTCCTGTACAGTCCTTACAACACAATATTTTGATGTAAAATGTGTAGGGTTGCCAGCATGATTTTAAAAACTGGTCTGAGCTTAAGCAGCAGGAGGTTTCCATGGGGCGTTTCCTCTTTCTTGGCAGCATTTCGGTCAGGACAGAATTGAAAACGCTCTGGGCTCCCAGCAGGGATTAGTGGTGTAGAAAAGCAGAAGCTCTATCTTTCAAATCTAAACAACGTATAAGAAAAATTATGATGACTTGCAGGGGGTGAGGAGGAGAAGAAGTGGGAGGAAGCTTTGTAAACTGAAGGCTTTAAACTTTATCTGCTCTGTGTGTGCGTGTCCCTCACAGGAATGTTCAGCATGTGGTCATTTGCTATTTGTTAGAGTAGCTGCTGAGGCTGTCCTGGGCTCCGACTGCTACTTTTCTCTCCAAAATAAAATTAAAATGGAAAAACACATTCTTTGTAGAAAGGGAAACATGATAAAAGGGCGAAGCAGATCACAGCTCCATCTTTAGATGCCAGTCATTTGCCTTGCGGAGGAGAACGCTTCGGTCTATTTATGTTCAAACCATAACGGTCCCTCTTCGAGCCCTATTTTGAATTCTGACTGACGTGTGTGTTATCTTGGCTCTTTTACACTGGGCAAACTCTCTGCAGTTTAATTGCAGCCTTAAAGTTCAGACAAATATTTACAGCCTCTGCTTTACTTTTAAGATGAATGGCTACTTCAAAACACTCTCTTTGCTGTGTTTCCCACTCCTTAAGTGGGTTCATGCTTTTTAAACCTGCCTGGGCAGTTTGAGAAACAAAGTGGGAGTCGCAGCCAGTACAATTTGTTCTCTGCTTTATTTACAGGAGCCAAGCAATAAGCGGGTTCGGCCTTTAGCACGGGTCACATCCCTGGCAAACTTGATCTCTCCTGTAAGAAATGGTGCAGTTCGGCGCTTTGGGCAGACAATACAGGTAAAAAGCAGAGCCTTCTAATCCTACAAGTCTAGAGACATGGGGAAGGTACTGGCTGCGTGGGGGTAAAACAGCCACTGGGATTTCAAGGCATCTCTTGAAAATCTCCTACATGATTCATGCAAGGATAGAAGGTTTGCTTGGGACTTGGGGATGAAGAAGGGTTCAGGAGTTCAGAGGTAGCTTGCTAGATAACCAGGCTATTGAGGGTTTAAGCAGTTAAAAAAATAAATAAATAAATAAATAAATAAACTGATTCATAGGGAGAATTAGTTGATAAACTGTTCCAGTACTTGAGATAACATGTATTGGAGCATGTGCTTAAATGTGAACTGACTGTTCAGTGATCTTTCAGTAGTGTTAGAGAGGTGTTGTCTAAGGAACGCTATACCCCACACATGCAGATAAGAGTGCTTCCATGTCTGGGTTTTAGCAACATTGCAAATCACAAGAACAAAGTTCAAGTGACTCCTGATTAGCCCCGTTATAGGTAGAATTATGATCCTAGTTTGTTTACTTCCTCATACCTTGAAAATAGACCCAAGCTTTACCTTCCTGTCCTCCTCCCAAGTGCTGTTGCTGGATCAGTGGACGGAGAGGTGCATGGAAAAGCTTGCCAGTCTCTGGGCTGTCAGGGCTTTCTCGGCAGCTTGATTAAAGTGTTCCCTTTATCTGAGGAAAAGTGTCTGGGTGTGTTTTCCTGCCTTGTACAACAGAGAAGGATGAAGGATTGGGAGGGGTATGGCTAATACTGTAATACATCTGTACTTCTGAAATGTTGGCTCTACATGTTTTTGTTTAATTTTTATTTTTTTTTTTAATCCCTATAGTCATTTGCCCTTCGCAGTGACAGCAAGTCTCCTGGCTGTGCCCAGAAATCATGTAGCAGATCTGCTGCTCCTACTCCTCCTAAAAGAAGAAACAGCGTACTTTGGTCTGAGATGTTAGATGTCAACATGAAAGAATCCCTGAGCACCAAAGAAATTAAGCGCCAGGAGGTAGGCTGCCTGTTAACCAGCAGGGCTAGGAAAGACAACCGAGGCCTTAGCTTGGGCTGTTTCCTTGGCGGGGAAAGGAGTAATGAGCATCTGTGGGTGACTTTATCTTCCTGTGCACCTTCGTTTCTAAACCGCTAGATTTATCTCTTCATTAGGCATGGGAAAAGGTAGGCTTCTCTCTCTTGAGTCACTAGGGAGTTTGTCTCCCCAGTTTGACCCTTTAGAGATGCCAAACTCTTTCCATGGGGGTGCTAAACATTTCTGAAATTCGAGACCCAGCCATACTGGTTGCTTTGCAGCAGACCCAAAGTCGGGTTCCTTGTAAAGCCAGCTGTCTTTCTCTTAAAGCTCTTGACAATTGGTTGAAAGCCAAATAGCAAGGTCTTGGCTTGCCTTTTTCCTGTAGTTCTTAGACAAATCTTCTAATGACAACACAGAAGCTGACTAAAGACGTCTGGGATTTGACCTCTGTGGTTTTCTGGGTTTTGTTTTTTTCGTCCTTGCCTGTGTAAAAGCAGTGATTTAAAAGGCGCTAATATTTAATTTGGCTTGTGCGTGAGCGTCAGAGCTTTCACACAGTTGTATGTCATGTTGCTTTCTCAGAGCTGGGAAAGCCGGCAGATTTACTTGAGGTTGTCGTGCCCAGGTGGCATACAGTGATTCAGATGGCAAAACCATTCAAGCTGCAGAGACAGGATGTACATTATGTGAGCTGAAAGGCTCTTTTAGAGGAAGTCTGGGATTAAAATTGACTCTGGATGCTTTATCCCCTTCCTCACAGGCAATATATGAAATGTCCAGGGGAGAGCAGGACCTAATCGAAGACCTGAAGCTTGCCAGAAAGGTGAGTGGGTTTTTTTCCTGCAGTCAGTAATCATATTACGGATAATATTGAAGTTTCTTTGCACCTGCGGTCGTTACGTATCAGCTTTATGAGGCCCAGAATCGGCAGCTGGCCTGGAAAGCTGATGTGAGTGGTCCTACAGTGCTGGTTTGAGTGCAACAAATGCAGCCAAAAAAGGGATTGCGCTTTGCAGTCCTACAGAGCTAGTTGGGGAATCCCTCTCCCAGGTGAGAACAGTTCAGACAGTGAAGTCCCTTTCATTTGAAGGCCTCTGTATGATACGTTCATACAGAGATGACTCTTTTAGCATTCAAAGCAGTGTTACTGTTTCTGTTGGCTTCACTTTCCTGCATGTGATGCATCCCCTCATATTCAAATTGTCAGCTTTTGGGCTTGGGAGATTTGAATATATTTTAATAGTGACGTTCTTTGACAGGCCTATCATGATCCTATGCTGAAACTCTCTATCATGTCTGAGGAGGAACTCAACCACATATTTGGGGACTTGGATTCTTATATTCCTCTGCATGAAGGTAAGAGCAACTGGATCATTTTCACATAATGTGCTGACTGGAGGAGCTCTATGCTTTCTCATGATTGAACAGTTTACTGGGGCATTGTTGCAATTCCTATTTTTGTGTTTCAATTGCAGACTTGTTGGCAAGTTTAGGAGAAGCAAAAAAACCAGATGGAACAGTGGAGCAGATTGGGCCCATTCTTGTGAAGTGGGTGAGTATGTAACGTAGAGATAGCAGGCTAACAATGCGCTTAAAGAACATTTAAAGCTAGAAGCCGAAAAGCTGTGGGCTTTTGTGGCCTTGAGCGAAAGATTGAAACGGAAATCCTGGCTACGCTGAAAACAATGGGAGTCTGTCAGCCGTAATGGGCCATGGTTTCACCCTGGAGACTTACACTAGTCTGACTGCAATTACTTGCTGATTTATGTTTGAAATGGCTATATCTTCTGGACTGTTTGTCACTGATGTGATTTCAATAGTGTTATCGCTGTTAATCTCAAACATTTGAACTTCAAAGGCATTGCACGAAGGATGCCCTTGTTCTCCTCACAAAAGACTAGCTACATATACAAGATAGTCTGATAGCTTTTTTTATTGGGCAAAGTATGGCAGTGAGGGAAGTAGAACTCCCTGAGTTTGACACGTTAATGTGGTTTGCTCTTCCTACTCGGAATTTGAGTCCTGAATATTGTTCTGTTCCCCTGCAGTTACCACGACTCCATGCCTACAAAGGTTACTGTAGCAATCAGCTGGCGGCCAAAGCACTTCTGGATCAGAAGAAGCAGGACCGGAGAGTGCAGGACTTCCTTCAGCGCTGCCTTGAGTCTCCTTTCAGCCGCAAGCTAGACCTTTGGAGCTTCTTGGACATTCCTCGAAGTCGGCTGGTCAAATACCCGCTGCTCCTAAAAGAGATCCTGAGGCACACTCCCAAAGACCATCCTGATATCCAGATTTTGGAAGAAGCCGTAAGTAATAGTGGTTTTGTGATCATTGTTCTGGCATAAGCATGTCATTCTGGAGCTCCAGAAAGTTGTCTTAAACCCTCAACAATTTCCTGGGGTGGTTTTCTTGGTGGACACAAATCTGTGACTGTAACCCTTTGTGAAAGCAAATGAGAGATCAGCCCACATGGGTTCCATCATCTGGTGTTCTGAAGTAACGCTGTAAGGGAAGTTATACAAGCAGAGGTTGCTATTTAGTAATTTGCAAATGTTTTGTTTTATAGATAACTATAATCCAAGGAGTCCTCTCTGACATCAACCTGAAGAAGGGGGAGTCTGAGTGCCAGTATTACATTGACAAGCTGGAGTACCTGGATGAGAAGCAGAAGGACCCGAGGATTGAAGGCAGCAAAGCTTTACTGTGCCATGGCGAGCTGAAGAATAAAAACGGACATGTAAGTCCCTCATGTTCAGGGTAATTAATTCTCAAGTTTGAAAACCTTCCCTCAGAGGCAGTCGAAACCCTTTGTCTGTCGTAGCAGGACCAGGAGCCTTTCCATCCTTAGGGTTAGTTTAGACAATTAGCTAAAAAGCAGAAGAGAAGGCACCTGATGGCAGTCTGCGTTGCAGGGTGTAAGGGAAAGTTTCCTGCTGACAGCTTTACAATTGGCCTTCAAAAGCTGGAAAATAATTAGCGCAGAATTACCATAGAAAGTGTGCTCTCTGCCCAAGCACTCCATCAAAAGGGATTTCCTGCCGGCTGTTTACTTTCAGGTGCTCTGACATTCCCCATTATGAGCGTTGGCGCACGGCTCTTCCAAACAAAAGTGTTCCTGCGAAAGCCTGTTTGCCTTTGAGCTCAGCTGCCAGAAGTTAGTCTCCCACTGCAGCAGTGTGGGAAGACCCTGCTCTACTCAAGGGTTTACTGCCTTTTGTTCTGGCTTGCAGGAGTAACCTCGTTTTTAAACATCAAATCTATTTCTGGTTTCTTTATTTTGTTTTTGGTTGGCTGAGGGTTTTTTTTGTTTAGTTCGGCCTTTACACTTCTGCATACAAAAAGGATTTTTTTTATTGCCAGGAAAGATACTGCTTCTAATCATCCTGTTCTTGCCACCTGTAAATCGTAATTCACTTTTTAAGGGTCATTAAAACAATAAACCTGTTGATGTAAGCGTGGTCTGTGCCACCACTGCCAGGGCCCTACGTTGCTGTAACAGGAAACTGTCGGAAAGTTAATGTGAGCGAAACTTCAGATAACGTGGCCTTGAATCCCAGAGGATGTGTAACCGCTTTGAATGTGGAGTACATATTTGCTCATATTCAAACGTGTTTTCCCTTTCAGAAACTCTACGTCTTCCTCTTCCAAGACATCCTGGTTTTGACCCGGCCCGTCACTCGCAACGAGCGTCAGGCCTACCAAGTGTACAGGCAGCCGATCCCCATCCAGGAGCTGCTCCTCGAAGACCTGCAAGACGGCGATGTGAAAATGGGAGGATCCTTCCGAGGAGCTTTTGGCAATTCCGATAAAGGTACGGACCAAACCAGCTCATCTGCGTGGGAATCTGTTGGTGAGGAGAGATGACACCTGGGCATAGATACATGAGGTTCCTTTAGCACAGCAGACACATGATCTGTGTTAACATCCACCTTTAGACTGTCACTGCTGGGCTTTGCAGTTTTATATTTGGTGGCCATGAACTTTGCAGTTGGTGCTCAGATGAGAAAAAAAATAAATCTATTTCAACGTGTCTGTGCTGGGCTGGGGCGTTTGGTTTGGGGTTTTTTGGTGTGGTTTTGAAGGCTTTTCGTTAAGCAGAGCAGGGCAGTCCAGGTCGCTTGTCTAGCAATGGAATCTCTAAATATTGAGCTAGGAACTGATCTGCTTTTTCCTGTGTTTATCTTCAGCTAAAAATATCTTCCGAGTTCGTTTCCAAGATCCCTCCCCGGGCCAGTCCCACACGCTGCAGGCCAACGATGTCTTCCACAAGCAACAGTGGGTTAATTGTATCCGAACCGCCATCGCTCCCTTCCAGCGGACTGCTGCCGTAGCAGAGCTGAAGGAGCTGCCGGAGCTGAGCGAAGAGGCGGAGGAGAACAACCCCTCTGCTCCCAACATCAAAGCCCAGAAGAGGCAGTCTGCCATGTCTGGCATAACCGAGATGGAGTTAGATGAAAGCGCATCTGAGTGCGGCTCCATCCTGGACTCAGAGGAAGCCAAGGGCGCGAAAACACACCGAACGCCGTCTGGGCACAGGAAAACGAGGGAAAAGCAGCTAAGTGGCAAGCGGAAAGAAACGCTGGTGTAAAAAGGAGCCCAGTGATGTCCTGGTGCAAAACTGTTTATTTATAAATAATGTGTACATTTTTCTTGTAATGTGAGCATGATTGGGTAAACTCTACTGAACAGAATATTGTTTTGGTTTTTTATGTTGCAATGGCAGCTACTGGTATACAGTTAACGCTGTTGAGCTGGAGTCTGTTTTTACAAACGTGGCCATTTTCAACCTGGTTTTTAGTGCTGTGAGTGAGCGATTCGGAAGCCCTCGTGCTTTTGAGTGCTTGTGACGGGTTTCAAGAGCATGTGTTGGTTTCTGAAAGATTTCCATACACGGTGTTTGAGGCTGGAAAACAGTAAAGCTTAAAGCGGAAGTTTGGGCCGTCACCGCGAGCCTGGCAGCACCTCCCTTGGCAGGGGGTTTGGATCAGCACCGTGAGACTCGGAACCTGAATTCACATTTTCTTCTTCTTTTGTAGAGCACGGTGAATGGTTACCATAATCCAGGCAACTTTTCATGTTAAAAAAAGAATTTAAAAAAAAAAAAAAAAAGGCAAAAATAACCAAACAAAAAACAGACCCCAGGTTCAACAGGTTCTTCATTTACCTACTGGAATCTTTCATCTTAGCGTCTCCTTTGTACATTCCTCATTTTCACTCTTGTAACCTGCCAGATATTTAATTTTTTAGTCGTTTTGTTTCAACTTTGGGGTTTTTTTTTTGGTTTTCTTTGGTTTTCTGTTTGTTTGTTTGTTTGTTTTTTTACTTTTGTATTTTGTTGTTGTCGTTGTTGGTTCAGACTTGGCATTTCCTTTCAAGTACTTGATCTTTCTCACTCCGAGGTGTGCGTGTACATACTGTTTCTCACGTCACTCCACAGTGCTGCGGAGCGCAGGCAAGCCGTAAGTCGGGAGGAAGACGCTCGACGTGCCCCGTTACGACGAGCCACAGAAACGGCTTGTGTGCGTTCTGGACTACTGTAAGAGAACTGCGTTGCTAGCGGGTTTTAGGAAGGTTTTAGGCACGTTGTTTAAAGGGTTTGGGGAGGGAAGAGGAGAGCGGCTAGAGGGGAGTAGCAGGGAGTGAAGGTAGATTTTCGTGTTACTGTTGCCTTTTGGAAATGAAACGCCTTCAGCAGGGAGGCAGGACTGGAGGCAACCAAGGGGTTATTGCATGTGGTAGAAAGGTAGAGAAAAGAAAGCGTTTTTGAAGCTGTTGAGGTGTAAGGACAGAAAGAGATAGTGGTTGTATATACTCGTAACGGCGACACTGCCATGTTCTAGCGGTCCAAAGATTCATGTGAGAGATGCCAGCTTGGTCACTGCGCTGCAAAGCGTTGTAGGAAACAAAGCGGTGACAGCTTTCAGCAAAGCCAACGGGTTGCTCCTGTCATTCGAGTGGTGATGATGGGGCGAGGACAGCGATCCCACGACACCTGTCCTCGAGCGTTCCCCGAAATCTGCGCTTGAGGCGCCGTAACTCGTATGTAAAGGGTTATTGCCTGTCACATGTTTGGCCAGTAATGGTGGAAATGGGAAGAGGGTGTACATAAACACAAACGTGTGGTTCTCTGTAAATGTATTGTACAGTTTTGAGTGCCAAATAAAACTAAATTCCTGACAGCCTCTGGCCTGCCTCGCCTGAGTCGCTGCCTGGGAGGGACGTGCTTGTGCTGTGTGGCAGCAGGTAAGTGCGTACCTGCGCTTCTCCAGGCGCACGCAGCTGACCGGCCGCCGCATGTGTAGGGCGTGGGGCTGCAGCTCGCAGGAGGAAACCGTGGCTTTATTCGAACCCCTTTTTTTCTGTCACGGTTCCTCTTTGCGCCGTTGCGGCCGGGAAGGACACGAGCCGCTGGTTTACAGCCCCGTGGGTGGCGTTGGGACCCAGCAGCAGCCACCGCCCTTCGTCTGCGACGGTCGCTGTAAAACAGGGCACAGCTACGTGACTCACCCCAGCGCTTGCATCATTCTCCTCCGTTTCTGGGGGAAAAGGGAGCAGTGGCGATACTCCTTGCCCTCCTGAGGTGCTGAAACCTCCTTCCTACAGAAAAGCAACCGCCCCACAGAAGCGAAAGGCTCCACATTTAGCAACTATTTAGAAATCCTCTCCTAGAGGAACCTTCAGAAGCAGCTTTGAGCGGAAGAGGGACCCCGCTGGGCAGAGTCCCCTCAGCCGGGGAAGCTTCCCCGGGGGCAGTGGGAGGGAGGTAGCAGCATGACGAAACCGTCAGGTCTCCGCAGCCCTCCCAAAAAGCTGCGGCCTGACCATGTAGGGGGGTGTCTGGGCACGGTGGCCGCGGCTCCCGGCCAGCTCCATCAAGCTGGGTCCTGCTGTGCTGTGCTCCGCGGTCCCCACTGTGAGGGAAGGCACAGCTGGGTTCGAAGGGATGGGGTTTGCAGCTGAGCTCAGACCTGGGAAGCTGCGTTTTGATCTGGAGGAGGCTCAGCCCTCGCCAAGCAGGGAGAAAACTGGAAAAATACTCCTTTTGCCATTAAAAAAAAAAAAGGCATTAATGAGCTGTCGGGGCACGCAGCTCGTCCTCAACAGAGAGGAAATCCCACAGAGAGCCTGCTTATCCTTCTGCGCGTCAGTCCGGGGGCTCAACCTTTGTCTCCTCGTCCTGTAGCCAACAGTCGGCAAATTAGCCAAGAACTTAATTTTCCTTTAAAAGCAAATCCCCCCGCCCCTGACTCCTGGTGGTTCCTATCCCTGCTCGGTCCCTCCAGGAGGAATGTGCAG